CCAGTGGGGTGGGGTGGGGCTCAGTGTTCCCTCTCCTAGCACAGGCCCACCAGTGTGCAGACACAGCTCTGTGATCCAGTGCACTGAGGCACCCTTTGGTCTCTGGGAAGACCCCAGCAGACAGCTCTGGGAGGGTGGCTCCTGCCCCAGCCAAGCCAGCCTTGTGACTGAGAGCCCTGGGGGTGCTGATGAAAGGGAGGGAGCCACGTCCCTGCCTCTCAGGACGGTGGCCAGGGTCCTCATCGGCCCACCAGCTGCTCCTCTTCTAAATCAGATCCCTCCAGGTATGAAGTAAGTGCACAGCGGTGCCGTTGCCAAGTGCCGTGAGGGCATGTGCAGAGCAGGGCTTGTGCAGGACTGGGCATGTGCAGAGCAGGGCTTGACCACTTCAGGGGGTCTCATCCTGGGAGGGCTTGTGGAGAATCCCCTGTGAGAGCAGCGCTGGCCCTCAGGAGGCAAAGGCGGCTCCTCTGCAGTGTCGTTGTATCCCCAGGTCAGTGGGATCCCAAGCGCGCGGCAGGAAGTGCGTTCCAGCCCACGGAAGCATTTGCCCAAAGAAATGTGTTTGTGTGTCGGTGCCGCAGGACTCCTCCTCCTTGTGGCTGGGACCGATGAACATGCCACACCTGTTACTTGGGCAGTTTCACCAGGCTCGGGACAGATCATGGTACTTTAGCAAATCTCCTTCTTTTCAAACTAATTCTGACTCCTGGCTCCAGGAGCACCGATGGGAGCAGGACAACGTCTGACTTCTCTGCAGATCTCACTGCATTGCACACACAGGCTGCCTCCCGCAGGCTTGCAGTTCGAGGGGAGAGGCGGAGGATAATACTTCCCTCACTTCCCCCCAATTCTGCCTGAGTTCAAATCACAGGGTAAGTCCTGTGAAGGAGCCCAGTGTGATTCTGCTCTCTGCCCCTCTCCACTGGCATAAGTCTGTCTGCATCTAGCAGAGTGACCGTCTAGAATGTCTCAGTCTGCACCCAGCTGGCTGCAGCTGCCTGAGTGACAGACTGATCCCTGTGATTGAAGAAGTTGTGGGGCCTAATCAGCCCAGTTAGCACGGAACAGAACGTGCTCAGAGGAAGAGGGGAACGCTGGTCAGGGCAGGCAGTGATGCTACCTGCAGCCCCGGAGCATCAGGTTTAGGACCTTGCTAGGGTGACACTGGTCAGCAGGGTAAATGTCAATTGATGGGAACCCCCCACTGCAGGGACTTGTTGAGAGGGAAGGGGGGAGCATGCCACGCTATCACAACCAGGTGCTGCCTGTGCACCAGCGCTAGACCCTGAGGCGCTCACCATGGGCCGCACAGTCTAAGGAAGCATTGGAATATTAAAGGCTGCTGAGGTGAGTCTGCCAGGAAAGCTCGTCTCTCTCCTCTGCAGAGATTGGTCAGCTGGAAGCTATTACCTCACCCGTCTTGTGTCTCTGCTACCCTGTGTCCCACACAGCTACAGACCCACTGCACACAGCAACGGACACTGCCCTGGTCTTTGGCACTGCAGCTGACAGGTGCAAATAAAGAGGAACCAGAAGCAATTTACCCAGCCCCAATGGGCAGCCTCCTGGTGCAGCCAGGCCTGAATTGAGTCCTGCTGGGACTCCCCTCACTTGGGGCCAGATTCCAGTTCCTGCAGGAAAGGAGCTGCCCCACCCAGGTTAGGGATGGGGGGTTGCGGGACCAATCATAAAAGTGCGGCAAACCCAAGGACTTTTGGGATCTCTGTAAAAATCATTTGTCCTCACCTGCTATGTAAGAAGCCCCGACGGCCAATCCCCATCTAACAGCACCTGCTCTTTTCAGCCCCCCAGGAATAAGCACCCCAAAACTAGTCCGGATTTCTTCCTGCAAGCACCAAAAATGGGGGGTGAGTCTGTAAAGAAAGACCAATCCCAACTAAATTATTCTAGCCAGGGCTTTGTCATCAGATTTATTTTGGTCTAATTCTCCAAATTGTTTAGGTCACTCTAGTTAGTATTCCTGCCCTCCACCGTATTTACCTCCCACCTAGATTACTGGAATCTACAATCTTGCTGAGGGTGCAATCCATCCCCTCATCCAGGTCCTAGAACCGGCTCTAGATCCGTCCCTTTGGGCACTCTGCTTCATTCTAACCACCAAACAGGGATTGAGCCATTGATAAGTACCCATCAAACCTGACAATCTAGCCAGAATTCTATCCATCTTACAGTCAGTCCATTGATCTAATCCATACTTCCTTAACTTGCAAGAATACTGTGGGAGACCATCATCAGTAGCCTTGCTAAAATCCAGGAATATCATGTCCATGGGCTTCCCCATATCCACAGAGCCAGTTACCTTTTCTAAAGTCCAGGGTCTGTATTTTACTACTCTCCTTTCTTTCTTTGGTCAGGATCCTGAACAGAACCATCTCATGATCACTGCTTCTCACGTTGGCACCCATCTCTACTTCCCCTCCTAGTTCCTTCCTGTTTGTGAGCAGCAGGTCAAGCTGCACATAGCCCCTGGTTGGTTCCTTCAGCACTTGTACCAGGGAGTTATCCCCAATATTCCCCAAAAACTTTCTGGATTCTCTATGTACTGCTGTATTGATCTCCCAAAAGATGTCAGCATGATTGAAGTCCCCTATGAGAACTAGGGGCTCTGATTTGGAAACTTGTCTGTAGAAAGCCTCATCTGCCTCACCTACATGGTTTGGTGGTCTATAGCAAATACCTACCATGACATCACCCCTGTTGCTCTCACCTTTAAACTTAATCCAAGTTCTCCACAGACTTTTCTCTGGCTTTAAGGCGGAGCTCTTACTAATCATGCTGCGTTCCTACAAACAGTGCAATTCCTCCACCTTTCCCCTCCACCCTCCACCTATCCTTACTGAACAGTTCATACCCTTCCATGACAGTGCTCCAGTCATGTGAGTTGTCCCATCAAGACTCCATTATTCCAATCAAACCATAGTTCTTTGGACTGTTCCAGGACTTCTAATTCTTCCTGTTTGTTCCCAAGGCTTCTTGCTGTAGCAAGCACAGGGCACCTAAGGGTGCCTTCCAAGCTCCTATCCCGGGGGTGGACATTGCGGGAAGGGAGATAAAAAAAATATTAGAAGCTTCACAATCAGTTCTGCAATCCTCTTTGTACAGCGCTGGGCTGCAGGCTGCTGCTTTATTGCACTGCGCACCCCACCCTGCAGCCACTGGCCTTACCTGCTGACCGGGGATGCTGATAACACAAAGCAGAGTCATGCGAGCTGCAGAGATTAAAACCAGCCAGAAATGGCCCCTGAGGCCAACATCCATTACTAATGGCGCACATCTAGGCACAGATCCACATTCAGAACAGCCAGGGAGCCTCTGTGGTGGTGTCTGTGAGGGTTCCACGCGACACAACACCAGCCCAGTACAGTTAATGCCATTACTGAGTGTCTATCCCATACACAAGAACTATGGGGTGCTATGAGGCGTCAGTGACAAAAACGCATTGTGATTTCCCTTTCCCACCTGCACAGCTGAGCTCATGCCAACCCCAAGCTGAATTGTCTATAAAACCCTGCCTGGTACTGACACTGATGCTCAAGGGGCACTGACTGACACAGGCCTTACTTGTCTAACCACCCTCACCAGAGGGCCCCACCCCTTCACACTCGGCACTTTCCCTGTGGTCAGGAGGACCAATGAGATAGGATCAGATTTGCATAAGGGTGGAGCTTGAACGTGCTTCCCCCAGGAGGATCAATAAAAGGGGCAGATATTGTCAGGCGATCTCAGCGCGTTTGGTGGGTTTTTCTCCCAGGGGTCTGAGATCTCCTCACCATGCTCTGGGCTCCCCTCATTGTCCTGCTGGGGACGTGCTGCACAGGTGAGGACGGGAAAACCTTGAGCTTGTTGCTGGACTCTGTGCAGAAACAGTGTCACTAGCACCCACAGTGCTTCACAACCTTTGTCTTTATTTTCCCAGGATCTAGCTCGCAGAATGTGCTGACTCAGCCGCCCTCAGCATCAGTGTCCCCAGGAAACACCGTGAAACTCTCCTGCACCATGAGCAGTGGGACCAGCATCAGTGGCTACAATGTGAGGTGGTTCCAACAGAAACCGGGGAATTCCCCACGATACCTGCTGAGATACAAGTCAGATTCTGACAAACACCAGGGCTCCGGGGTCCCTGCCCGGTTTTCTGGTTCCAAGGACACATCCAGCAACACCGGCTATTTGACCATTTCTGGGGCCCTGGCGGAGGATGAGGCTGACTATTACTGTGCTGTGTGGCTCAGCAGTGCTTGTCACAGTGACACAGTCAGTGGGGAAGTGAGACAAAAACCTTCTTTGTCTTCCCTTCTAAGCAGCCTGAGGCATTCACGGGGTGCTAGTTTTGGTCTCTGCCTACAGCATATCACACTAATACTTGCTCTTCACAGCACATAGCAGCTCCTTACAACCAGTGATGGGATCAGAGCCAGATTAAGAGACAGGCACCATCTATATGCCTAGGCCCAGGGTTCTGACTCTTGGGACTGAGATCTTAATCTCAGCCTTCATTAAAATAAAATATACAGCCAGGCCTCATGGGCTGCTAAGGAAACTTGAAGTGTGACCGCAGTGTGGCTCACGCCTGCCTCTCTCTGCAGGGGGCCTGGATCAATAGTTCCGAGATCTGTGACCCTCCCCGTTCATCTTCACCCTATCAGCCTGCTGCTCTGGGGAGGTTCTCAGCAGCAAAGAGTTTGGGGGCCCTGGCTGATGCCATGTGAGCACAGTGTTGTAGAGGGAGGGGTTGAGTTAGCAGACAGGGCTCCGCACTTCAGTGAGTGGAGAAGACTGTTCTGCCCATTGGAAGCCCAGCAGAGAGCTCTCTTGTGGGGTTCCTGTCCTGGCCAAGCAGAGCTTGTGACTGAGAGTCCTAGGGGCCCTGAGGAAAGGGAGAGGAGCCTCACCCCTGCCTCAGGAGGGTGGCGCCCACCAACTGCTCTTCTTCTCAATCAAACCCTTGGAATTGCCACACTGAGAGTTGCCAACATTCAGGCACCATCCTCGGGTTGTGCAGAGCAGGGCTCAAGTGCATCAAGGGGATCTCAGTTCAGAAAGAGGGTTTGTGGAGATGTGCCATGGGGCAGCACGGGGCAGGGAAAGGCAGGGATTCCTCTTCTGGGATATGGTTATTGTATCTGACCTCAGGGAGTCTCACAGCTCCTTAGCTGTCAGTCCGGGGGATGTGCATTGGTGACTAGAGATTTCTACACTGTCTGGCAATACTCAAATCAGTTTAAAGTGCTGTTAGGAGCCCAGTGTGGTTCTGCCTCCATGCCCATTCCTCCCCAGGACAGGTGTGTCAGGCACCTCCCAATCCTGCACCCCATCTGCTACAAGATGAGACTCTGCCAGCCAGTAGAATAGAGAGGGTTTATTGCTTCTCCAGGATACAGCACAGCACAGACGTGAGGTGGTTACAGGAGTCAGGGCTGGGCAGCCTCAGACCCCTTGGGGTAGGGGCGTCTAGGCCCCTTCCCTCAACAAGTAGGAATCAGTTGGGTCATTGTCTACATAACCTGAGGTTCTTCAGGCTACTCCCCGCACTTATCAGTGCTTACAGATGCAGGCCAGTAGGGGTCACCCAAACACAGCAACCAGTGATATACAGGCACTATATCACTTCTCTCCCCCCTCCGAAAGCAAACTGAGCGGGGCCACTCCACCTGTGGCCTGGGGAAGTTTGAGCCCACCCCCATGGGATAGCGTGTTGGCTAAGATGTTTGTGTTCCTCGTGACCTGGATCACTTCCATGTTGTAGTCCTGCAGGAGTAGGCTCCATCTCAGCAGTTTGGAGTTGGTTCCCTTTACCTGGTGCAGCCAGGTCAGGGGACAGTGGTCGGTGTACACCGTGAAATGCCAGCCAAACAGGTACGACTGCAGCTTTAGAAGGGCCCACACCATCATCAGGCGTCCTTCTCTATGGCCGCATAGCTCTGCTCCTGGGGCAGCAGCTTCCTGTTCTGGTGCATCATGGGGTGTCGCTCCCCCTTCTCGTCCACCTGCATCAGCACCACCCCCAGCCCTGTGTCCGAGGCATCAGTAATCATCACGAAGGTCTTGTAAAAGTCTGGATTTACCAAGACTGAGGCTTTGTCCAGGGTCTTCTTCAGAGCACAGAGAGCCCCCTGGCACTGTTCCATCCAGACCACCCTGTCTGGCCTCCCCTTCCTGCACAGCTCCCTGGTCGGAGAAGCGATGGAGCTGAAGTTGGGCACAAACATCTAGCAGTACCCCGCCATCCCAATGCAAGCCTGGACCTGCTTCTTGGTCTGGGGAACAGGCCAGTCTCAGATGGCCTCCACCTTGGCCGGTTCTGGCTTCAAGCATCTGCCCCCTAGTGTATGGCCTAGGTAGGACACCTCGGCCATCCCGACCTTGCACTTCCCAGCCTTTACAGTCAACCCAGTCCCCCTTAGCCTGTCCAGTCCTCCCAAGTCTGGCTGAAGATGCAAATATTGTCGATGTAAGCCAGAGCAAAGCTCTCCATCCCCTGCAGCAGCTGGTCCACCAGGTGCTGGAAGGTGGCCGGTGCCCCCTTGAGGTTGAAGGGCACAACCAAGAACTCATAGATCCCCACCGGGGTTATAAAGGGTGATTTCAGCCTGGCCTCAGGGTCCAGCAGCACCTGCCAGTAGCCCATGGTGAGGTAGTGAGCTCCGCCTAGCTTGTTCAGGAGCTCATCGGGCCTAAGCATGGGACATAGTGATGGCCTTGAGCTTCCAATAGTCCATGCAGAACAGGATCAACCTGTCCTTCTTGGGGACCAGAACTACCGGAGAGGCCTAGGAGCTGGAGGACGGTTAGAACAGCCCTAGCGCCAGCATGTCCTGGACCTCTTTCTCCAGGTCCTGGGCCATCTTCCCCATGACTCTGAATGGGGAGCAGTGCCCCAGGGGGTGGGTGCCTGTCTCCACCTGGTGGTGGATGGGCAGGCTGGTGAGACCAGGCTTGTCAGAGAACAGCTGCTGGTGGGAGCGCAGCACCTCTCGGATCTTGGCCTGCTGGGCTGGGGTGAGCTGGTCCAAGAGGGAAATTGATTCCAGTGAAGCATCTGCTCCAGTGCCCTCTCCTTGCTCCTCCCAGGGCTTGCACACGGCCAGCACTAAGTTATCCCAGCCCCAGTATGTCTTCATCATGTTAACGTGATACACCCGCTGGCCATGCATCCGGCCAATCAGCTCCACCACATAGTTCACCTCGTTCAGCTACTTAACGACCTTGAAGGGGCCGTCCCAGGCTGCCTGCAGCTTGTTCTTCCACACGGGGTATAGAACCACCACTTGGTCCCTGGTAGTGTAGGCTCGTGCATTGCGGTCGTACCAGACCTTCTGCTTCCTTTGGGCCCTGTCTGGCCAAACCCATGAACTCAGTGAGTCTCTCCCGGAAAGCCAGGATGTATTTGACAACCGACTCACCCAGGGAGGCCTCCCCCTCCCAGTCATCTGACATAGAACCCTGTGCCCTCTGCAGGGAGCTCTCCCCTGGGTCAGGGTCACCAGCCTCTCACTGGCTCTGCCTACAGGTGGTAATTAGAGTCCTGTAGGACCCATGTGGCCACTCCTGTAGGTCACCCTCCACCAGTACTTCCGTGGGCAAGTGCTTCCTTGGGGTCCTCCTTAGCGCCCCATTTCAGATGCCCCCGGGCTACAGGCACCTTAAACGAGGTCCAGGGAGCTCTCCCCTGGGTCAGGGTCACCAGCCTCTCACTGGCTCTGCCTACAGGTGGTAATTAGAGTCCTGTAGGACCCATGTGGCCACTCCTGTAGGTCACCCTCCACCAGTACTTCCGTGGGCAAGTGCTTCCTTGGGGTCCTCCTTAGCGCCCCATTTCAGATGCCCCCGGGCTACAGGCACCTTAAACGAGGTCCCTCAGGGTCATCTGGGTGTTGGGTACCATGCAGGCTGGGGCCACTATATTGGGCTGGGCCAGTGTCACATCTGCTCTGTGTCCCAGAAACCTGTCCCCATCACCTCCCTGCCATCCACCTGCAGGGGCACGAGGCACTTGCTCTGCAGGGGCCGCCCTGCCCCCACCTGGTACACAGTGAAATCCACCTCCCAAGGGTCAGATCTCCCAGGGGAGGTGCACTGAGCATCCTTCCCCCCACTCTGAGCTGAGGTTTGCCTGCTGGCCCCAGCCTCTGGGGCAGCCTGCCCTTCCCCCAACCCCAGCCAGTTACCCTGGGAAATCCCAGGTCTTGGTGCCTGGTACACTGAGTCCTCTTGTAGCCTTTTTGCCCACACCGATGGCAGGTTAGGTCCTGCAGGCCCCTTTGGGCTGCTTCTGTCGGGGCCCTGGCTGTCTCTCTGGGGGGAGGAAGGCTGGTCCCTGTCTCTTGGGCTTGCCCTGTAGGTGATTTCCTCCGTTGCTCAGCTGAGAACCAGTCTCTGTGCAATTCCCTTTCTCTCCTGGCCTCCCTTTCTCTCTGGGACTCCCGTTCATCCGCCAGCCTCCCGGCGTCCTGGGGTCCTCCGGCCTCCGGTCCTTGAGCCACAGCCTCAGGCTGGGCCGGCACGCTTCATAGAACTGCTCCAGGATCATCAGCTTAAGCAGGTCCTCTGCGGCCTGGGACCCAGCCCCGCACACCCACTTGCAGCAGTGTTGCGCCAGGCGGGAGGCCAGATCCACGTAGGTCTCCCTTGGCTCCTTCTGCACCCCCCGGAATTTCTTCCTGTATGTCTCAGGGGTCAGCCCGAACTTGTGCAGCAGGGCCTCTCTGACCTTTTCGTAGTGGCCCGGCTGCAGATTCTCCAGCTGGTTGAGCACCCCTGTAGCCTTCTGATCCAGCAAGGGGGTGAGCTGTTGGAGCCAGTCTGCTGAGGGGATCTGGTGTAGTTCACAGGCCCCCTCAAAAGAGCTAAGGAACCTGTCTGTGTCCCCCACATCTTTACATTGGGCCAACACAAGCTTCTCCAAGTGTCTGGCCATTCTGGGCCCCTTGGGGCCCTCTTGCGCAAGAATAGGCTGGGCTGGGCTGCGGGGGGGGGCTCGCCTTCTCCGCTCTGCCATGGCCAGCTCATGCTGCCACTGACTCTCTCGATCCTGGCATTTTTTCTCTCGGTCCTGGCGTTCCTCCCTACAGTCTTGCCACTCTTTCTCTTGTGACTCCAATTCCTTTAGCCTCAGCTCGATCTCTAGCTGTCACAGCTCTGCCGGGCTGGACCGCTCCCTGAATGAACCGCTGCTGGCAGAGCGTGGCCTGTTGTGCACTGCATCTGTCTGGCAGATTCCAGCCCTTCCTCTGGTCTGAGAGCCTGAGACACTCCCAGGGGGTATCTTGCTGTTCCGTGCCAGGACAAGATCCAGGTCCTTGGACTGGTCATTCTCTTCCAGCTGGGCAATCAGCTGGGCTTTGGTTGCTTTCCCCATGAGCAGGCCTCTCTCTCTGCACAGCCCCACAAGGTCTGCCTTCAGGAGTTGGGCATAGGCTGTCTCCCCGCTGATCCCTGGGGTGTAGACTCACCGACTGAGTGCTGCAGCACCCCATGACTCCCAGGAATCACTTTGCTCTGCTTCCAGCATGCCTGGCTCATCCAAACCCCTTCCTTTTACTGTGCCTCATTCCTTGCTGATGGAAGCTCCATCCATAGGGTGCAGTGCATCCCACCGCAGCCACCACTGTGACGGCATGTTGGGGACCCCTTGATCCTGCACCCTGCTACAAGATGCTACAAGATGAGATTCCTGCTACAAGATGAGACTCCGCCAGCCAGTAGAATATAGAAGCAGTGTTTTCTGCAGGAATTGAAATTAGGGGGGGTGGTCAAATTTACAGGGGGGGGGCAGTTTCTGGGCCAATGAGGGTGAGATCGTGAGGGTGAAGGTGGGCTGTATGGCACCATAGTAAAATCTGAAAAATGTTTCACGACCATTTTATTAGATTTAACTCATGTTTTAAAATCACACAAATTAAAGTTGGCTACTCAAGCCTTCTATGAGCACTATGTCTACATGCGTTCCTCCCTACAGTCTTGCCACTCTTTCTCTTGTGACTCCAATTCCTTTAGCCTCAGCTCGATCTCTAGCTGTCACAGCTCTGCCGGGCTGGACCGCTCCCTGAATGAACCGCTGCTGGCAGAGCGTGGCCTGTTGTGCACTGCATCTGTCTGGCAGATTCCAGCCCTTCCTCTGGTCTGAGAGCCTGAGACACTCCCAGGGGGTATCTTGCTGTTCCGTGCCAGGACAAGATCCAGGTCCTTGGACTGGTCATTCTCTTCCAGCTGGGCAATCAGCTGGGCTTTGGTTGCTTTCCCCATGAGCAGGCCTCTCTCTCTGCACAGCCCCACAAGGTCTGCCTTCAGGAGTTGGGCATAGGCTGTCTCCCCGCTGATCCCTGGGGTGTAGACTCACCGACTGAGTGCTGCAGCACCCCATGACTCCCAGGAATCACTTTGCTCTGCTTCCAGCATGCCTGGCTCATCCAAACCCCTTCCTTTTACTGTGCCTCATTCCTTGCTGATGGAAGCTCCATCCATAGGGTGCAGTGCATCCCACCGCAGCCACCACTGTGACGGCATGTTGGGGACCCCTTGATCCTGCACCCTGCTACAAGATGCTACAAGATGAGATTCCTGCTACAAGATGAGACTCCGCCAGCCAGTAGAATATAGAAGCAGTGTTTTCTGCAGGAATTGAAATTAGGGGGGGTGGTCAAATTTACAGGGGGGGGGCAGTTTCTGGGCCAATGAGGGTGAGATCGTGAGGGTGAAGGTGGGCTGTATGGCACCATAGTAAAATCTGAAAAATGTTTCACGACCATTTTATTAGATTT